TCTCAAACGTGCACGTCTGCCCGCGGCCATCTTGGCAGAATGTTTATTCTATTTTAATTTGACTCATTGTTTTTTTCCAAGCAGGTTTTTTTTTTATTGTTAAGTCAGATTGTTTCCTATTGCTTTCCTATTGTTCTGTCTGATAAAAGTAGCTGGCTGTCAACTTAGTGATTCTTGTATGACTTCATTCTGACAGCCATTTTTTTTTATGTGTGAGATATTATTTACTGCAATTCTAAATCTGTTTAAAATTTTTGTCAGAAGTCTATCGGGCACGAAAAAATCTAACAGGGGCACACACACTGCTGTCAGAGTGCAATTCACCGGTGGGGAGGATAATAGCGTAGATAGGGGATTGAGAGGTTTTTTTTTTTGTTCAGACAGCAGGGCTAAATGAGAACCAACTCGCAGTGTATGGATAGCTTTCGAAGGGTTTGGGAACTATGGGAATGGACTTTCTTTGCATATTGCACCCCACAGTAACAAAGCGAAAGTCTTATTATGCAGAAACCACTCTGAACTGAAATTTAGTTCCAGTAGCTAACTGAAAGTGGTAATAGCCCCCAACATTCTGAATGTTGCATTAGGCAAGCAGTACAATATTATGCAAGTCATAAGTATACAATTGTTTTGAGATTTTGCATGCTGTCTTTTTTTAAAGCTCACGTGAATCTATTAGTGTGTGGTGCCATCTGGACTGCTACAAAGCTCTTCTTTTTTTTTCTTCTTCTTCTTAGCCAACAGAAGAAATTGCTGAAAATGATAAAAAATGTTGATGACAAATCCACATGCAGTCAGGATCCAAAGGTAGGCAAATTCAGTTATCATTTCAAAAAAACGGCATACAGTATGCCAGTGGGGTTATTGCTTTGGTAAGAAAAAGCATATCTTTGAGTAGTTGTAATGTCCATTAAAATAAAATGTATGTAAACCAAAAATCTTTGTTTTAGAAAGTTTGGCAGTTATGTCTTACTGTATACAATTTTCCTAAGCAAACCATTTTTTGTGAATCTGTTGCAAAGTTTCTTGCCTTGAGAACCTGCCAGTAGCGGCACTTCCTGTTGCAGGCTGACAACACTAAGCGCTGCCTCGCAGATTGCAGCAGTATTGTCGGCCTGCCATGCGTGCTTCTTCATTTGGCCAATGGGAAGGTTATTAGGTCTAGGATAGGCAGCACAGTGGCCAACTGAAGGAGCTTGCAACAGAGTCTACAATAATTTTGCTTAAGAAAACTGTATATTTATTGAGGCATGATGCCAACATGCTGAAAAAAAGAAAGATCTTGGGTTTACATACAGTCATAGCCAAAAATATTGGCACCCCTGCATTTGAGAGATAAAGCACCACTTTGCGCAGAAAATTTGTTGCAATTGCAAATGTTTAGTCATTCTCATGTTTATTTCTTTTGTTTGCATTGGTATGAGACAAAAACGTGGAGAGAAAAAAAAAAGCCAAATCTGACACTGACATTCCAAAAATGGACTGGACAAAATTATTGGCACCCTCAATTTAATATTTGGTAGCACAGCCCTTGGTTACAGGAAGCAATTGATTTCAGTTATTTTTTTCATCAATGAGTTTCTTACACCTCTAGAGGAATTTTGGACCACTCATCTTTCGCCAACTGCTCCAGGTCTCTCGGATTGGAAGGGTTCCTTTTCCCAATTGCTGTTTTGAGATCTCTCCACAGATGCTCTATGGGATTCAGATCTGGATTCATTGCTGGCCAGTCCAGTACTCTCCAGCGCTTTGTCTGAAACCATTTCTGGGTGCTTTTTGACGTGTGCTTTGGGTCAATGTCTTGCTGTAAGACAGAGACCCAACTTTCTGACACTGGGCCCCACATTGCACCCCAGAATCCTTTGGTAGTCTTCAGATGTCATAATGCCATGCTCACAGTCAAGACATCCAATGCCTGAAGCAGCATTGTAAGCACTACTCTAAGTCTACGTGTGATGGGTAGGCTTTCTGTCCCAATAAGAATTAGGTTATCCGTAATTGGCTAGTTAACAGTAATAGGTGGCATAGGCATGAACAGTGCTCTCAATTAGAAAAAGTAGTAAAGGACTTAAGCACATCATACCAAAATGTATGTGAGGGTATCGGGTAGAGACGCACAAATACCGATACTAGTATTAGTGCCGATACCGAGTATTTGGGCTTGTACTCACCCAAATGCTCCCAATGCCTATCCCGATACCAGAACTTCCGGTATCGGCAAGCTGGGCGGCGACTCATTACATGGCGCCCGGCTTTCCGATTGGCCAGGAAGGCGGCTCCATGCTCCCTCGTCACCAGGGAGCATGGAGCTGGCTTCCTGACCAATCAGGAAGCCAGGGGGGCGGGTAATGACTCGCCTCCTGGCTTCCTGATTGGCTGGGAAGCCGACTCCTGCATTGAGCAGGCTTCCGTGCCAATTGAGAAGCCGGGTGTCGTGTAATGATTCGCTGTCCAGCTTCCTGATTGGTTGGGAAGCTGGCCAATCAGGAAGCCAGGAGGTGAGTCATTACCCTTCCCCTGCCTTCCCGATTGGCCAGAAAGCCGATAACATGCTTCCTCGTCACCTGGTGATGAGAGAGCATGGAGACTGCGCCCAGGCAAATCAGGAAGCCAGGCGGCAAATCTTTACATGCTGCCTGGCTTCCCGGCTCGGTACTTGATACTGAAAAACTGGTATCGGTGTATCCTTAGTATCAGGCACTGAAAAAGTGCTATCTAGCAATAGAAATCTGCGCTCCTATAACAAGTGACATTTTCTCTGTTCGTATATTATCCAAATGCAGAAAATTGGATAAATGTGTTAACTAGTTATACCTAATCTTTCCAATATGAACATACAGAATTATATTTTTTATAGAAACTCACCTAATTGCTTGGCTGTGTCAAATGTAAAAAAAAATGCTTTGTCTTTACTGTTTTGTTTTTTTTGTTTTTTTTTACATTTTATTTCTAATTTCCAGCCCTCCATAAAAGATGTAATATATATTACAGTGGAAATCTTATCCAATTGGGGAAATCCCGATTTTGTGGGTTTGACTGAAGTCCAATTTTTTGATCTGAAGAATCAGAAAATATATGTGTCCCCTCTTGACGTAGACATAAGGAATGCTGATTTTCCTGGAGATCTTCAGTGTTTGGTCAATGCAAAGGTTAAGGTAAACGCTGGGATTTTTTGCTATTTCTATCAGCAAATGTACTTTAGACCACAACTAACAGGGTAATGGGAGGTCAAGTAGATTTTTTTTTTTTTGTGTGTGTAGCAAAGTTGTTAATCTAAACCTGAACACAAATGGTTTAATTCAGCCCTGAAATAGCATAGACAGGGTGGAAAGGGATCAAACTTAGTGCTGCATTTTTCTGTGCTGGTGACATTAATTTTCGTAATTTCTTGTCTTGGTGTCACAGGGACAGCTAGTATGGCGGCATCTGGGGTAATAATAAAAAGAAAAAAAAACAGCGTTTCTAACATTCCCCCACACTATCCAAACCATAGAAAAAAACTTTGGAAATGGACTGTAGAGCCGAGGAAGGAGCCATGAACCCCATGGAACACATGGTTCAGTTGTGCAATTAAACTGCATGCAGATGAAGAACAAACTATTTTGTACAGGATCTAGAAGCACAACTATCATAACTATTTGTTTGTATTTTAACCCCTTCTTGACTGACGACGTACAGTGTACGTCGCCAGCATCGGGGCTGTTTAAACAGACTCCCGGTGACTTTTTAAACTTGTAGAGCCGACTGTCGGCTTTACAACAGAAGCGATCCTGGCGACTTACCTGTCGCCAGATCGCTTCTGC